TCAAAAAATTTCTTTCCTTCAATTTGTGGTTAATGAATTCTCGCTTTCTGTGAATAATTAAAACCATTAATATTTAATTTAGTAAGCAAAAAACTATATATGAGAAAAGTAAAAAAAAAAAAACCATTCACGCCTTGAGTATAATACGCCATTATATTTCATACTACAATCCATGCCTTAAACTCGTTCCACGGGCTTTAACGTGGCGGCAATGCCACACTTTGACGTTATGGCGCACCATAATGCCGCCATAACGCGTTTTTAGAATCTTGCACCCAACCCATCGACTATGCCACCAATGTCGTTGTCACAACTACCACACCCTCCCCCCCCCCCCCTCCAAAACAAAGATCGAGATTCCATTTCAATGCCTACCAACCAAACGTGTGGTCAAATTCTATTAAATTTCATTCCAATTCCTTTAAAGTCAAATTTTTTGATGAATTCCAATTCCACCAAATTTCATTCTGCAAACCGAACTCCCCTAAAGGTATTATGGAAACTTGTATTATTTTTCTCAAATCAGTGAATCAAGTTTTAGAAACTTACCAAAATCAACCCGTGTAACTTTGAAAACCCATCATGATATAGAAACGTTACTAATTAAATTCAAAATACATAAATAAAATCTTAAAAAACAAATTATATTAAAAATAATGTACTTTAGTCTGATTCTTATTATGAATGACATACTTTCAAAACATTTATTTTGGTACTTCAGTTGTAAAATATCGAACTTATAAGTACATGGATAACCTACATACTAGATAACCTGTAAACTTAAATGATTTATCATTTATAATAATGACATGGAAAATAAAAAGAATGACTTGGAAATTAAAATCTTTTTCCCAGTTCTCCCCTAAAACATCCCACAGCCGCGAACACTCTGAAACTGAAACGTCACCCTCCTTTATTGTCGACATCGTCGCCTTCCCTTGTCGTCGAGACCGATTCGTTTGGCCTCACATCTCCTCGCACATCAAGCTTCTATATCGGATTGCAAATGAGTACAAGGTTAGTCCTCTGGTTGTTCCATTTTTGTGGTTTCTCGATAAAATGCAACTGCAGAGTTCTTGATCAATAGTGTTCCTCAATTAATAGCAAGTATGATTAAATTGTTCAATACTGATTGAATTAGTCGAAACATTGCATTCTGACGTCAATGTTTGATCGTTTATCTATATGCTTCGTTCAAGTTCACCATATCACATGCAAGCAAGTTGTTTTGCTTTTAGTTCTAGCAGGGACCATTTTAATCTAGGTTTTTGCTGGAATCCTTATTTTCTCTTTCTAGGTCTACATTTTGATGCTGATAATTTTAGTTCTTCATCGTTATATTTAAATTTAACAAAAGGTCTGTTATGTGTTACAGTTTTAGTATCATAATTTTGACATAACTCCTCTAGGGTCCTTACCAAACACTTACCCGGAAAAGTGCTTACTGGAAAAATTCAATATTATCATTTACTTATCGGGTAAGATTTTAGGCCACTAAAATGGTATCGAATACAACAATTTATCAAGTAAGCGCTAACCGCTAACCATGGTAAGAGTCATATCCCTCACTTACCGGGTAAAACTTTCGGTCATTGCCTTCATTCTTACCGGACAAGTAAGATTTGTGTTCCTTGTTATATTCATCCAGTAAGATAATGTGACTTGATAAGAGCTTATCCGGGTAAGCTTTTGGTAAACGATCATTAACTTGTTATCCTCTAGACAGATGATGTGCTTCTTGCAGTTCAAACAGAATTGCACAAGTTGGTTACTTGGCCTCAATATACAGACCCATGATCTATGGGGTTTAAGCATCAACATATGGATATGTATAAATCGTTCTTCAACCAACATTTTATGTTACATACCGTTGTAAATAATTTGATTTTTTTCTTAAATAAGAGGGATAAATACAGTTATATGTCGTTGGTTATAAAATCCATTTTTTTGTCTTTTACTAGTGATGATGACCTTGGAGGTGATAACATACCTGAATGAAGACCAGTTAAATGATGTGCTTTTCGATGTCGGTCAAGATGATGTTGCTAATTTTTTCAAGACCTATATATTGTGTGATGCAGTTGAGAATGAAGTTAGTGAGTGTTTCAACTCATTAATTGTTTCAACAAGAAGGAAGCCTAAATTATAGAAGAAACTCCATCTAAGAGGATTGAATGAAGCATACCAAATGTAACAATGATTGAACATTAACGAGGTATCGGCATTTAAATTTGATCGAGCATTAACGAAATATCAATACATTTTTGTTCATAACCGATAGGCGTGTTATGACATCTAAAACTTTATTATGTTATCGCCCCTTTTCATGATAAAATATACCAATATTAAGGCATTGTTGTAAAAATATAAAATTATCGTCCGTATTTTGTTTATTTATTTATTTACGAATGATTACTAATGATCACATATATTTTATTATTTTGGTCATGTTCAGTTGTTAATATAAATGTTGACAAAAAAAATGTTATGGAAATTACCTTCATTTTTAACTATTTAGTTCTACGATTTTTTTTTTAAATTACAAAAATATGGAAAATGTGGATTGTTTTGCTTAATTGAAAGATATACATATTTAAAAAAAAACTAGAAAGGTACACACGCAATGCAGCAAGATGAATCTTCATTTTAATGTCTACTTTTTATTTTTTGTCTCTATCGATATAATACAATTTTACGTGTTTTTGAGAAAACGATAATGTTTTTATTATTTGAATGAAATATAAATTTGAAGATAACATAAAAATTTGAAAAAAATAAAATCGATATTAGTATCAAATTAACTATTTAGTAGTTATCGTTTTTTTGGTGTAACTTATTTAATTCAA